TCAGTCCTGGTCCTGCAGACTCTGCTGACAAGCTTCAGCACAATCCCCACTGAAGTTTTTATAAACTGAATAGATGGTGGCTTGTGAATGGATGGTAGAGAATTTGGTTGTTTATTTATCTCTGGCTGATTTCCTTCTATCAGAGATTTCTACTGCTCTAAAAATGAAAGGTTAAATGCATTCAAGTCTTTGTCCTAGATACTGCCATGCCACTGTGTTTGAACTCAACAGAGAATCATATGGGTATGCCTTTGTAAATGCCATTCCTATAATTTTCCCTTGCATGATTGTTTTCTGAAAGACTGCAAAGTAAAGCTTGGTGGGAATTTTCCCACAGTGTATTTGTTTGTATGCAAAAATGCTGACTTGATGAAATGGAACCTTTCTGTGGAAAATATTTGTTCCAGCAAGAAGGCTTCTCAGATTCAGAAGTGAATTTCTGGAAGGAAAAAAAAAAAAAAAAAGAGAGAGAGAAGGAAAAACTTTCCATTCTTTTCCTCAAAGTAGATGGCTGCTTAGTGCTCAGGCGTTCCCTGGAGGAAATGGGCAAGAGAGGTTCAAACCCCACCTATTCAGTGTGTTAATCTCTTTCTGGGCCAGCTATGCAAAGTTGAACATTGTCAAACTGGGTAAAAGGGAGTATTCTTACTGGCTTATGTCTTTTTATGCCTGTTTGGCTTTTTTTTTTTTTTCCAGAAAGGTTCTAATTTCATTTTAATGCTCAACAAAAGCATATTTTGGAATGACCATTGTTTTCCAAAATACTAAAGTTTTGCAGATAGTGTTACACTAACCCCGCAGTGATCGCCTTGCAGATCCATTTATAAATTCTTTAAAATGTGGATGACAGAGTCACTCCATTTGGGATCTATAATGTAAATGGAGCCCTTCTGACTCTTTGTAGGTTTTTTAGGAGACATCCAGGGTTTGATTCTGCACATTTCCAACATATAAGCTGTTATGAGCTTTAGCTACTTAACTAATGAAGTTATTCATACACTTGATGCCAGCACATTATGAATTGATAACACTTTTATTAAAGTCAATAGAAAGACTTCTACTGGCCTCGAAGGAAAGTTCATTACATTATGTCCTTGTATCTTCAAGTTTTATTTTGATGCTTGATCTGTTCTTATTTTAGTAATGTTCAGGTTCTATTAAAATTATATTTATATCAGTTATGCATCTCTACAGTTTCAGAAAGAAGTATCTACTTTGTCTATTCTTTAGGGAGAGAATAGGAATTCAGGAAACCTGGATTCTTCTCTGACTTACTGCTGACTTAGACTATCTATCATTATTTATTAACTTTAACAATTATTTTATTATTTCAATCTGCAAGGAAATTTAAGCACTAGGAAATAAAACATTCAGTAAAATATTGCATTATAATACTCATAACCTTAATTTACTCAATGGCAATTTCACAATTAGGACATTATAATGCAGTCTTAATGCACATTTATTATAGTAATGAAGACCAGAATTACACAGATATAACACAAATCATATTTAATCAAGAGCAATCTCAGATAATAACCAACTAAGAATTAGAATTATATGGCACTGAGTTTCTTTGTATCATTTTTCTTCTATCAATAAGTAATGCTACAAATTGTCATAATATAAATTGTTTACATTTGTTTTAAAACATTCTATAATATTGATTGATACCTTAGGCTGAGTACTTATTGTACAAATACCATAAAAGTTCTCCAACTAATGAGAAAATTAATTTTCCATCCAGCATAACTCCAGTGTTCAATTAGATTGAAATACTAATTCCTATAATGTACTGATTTCTTCAAAATCAAAAAAAAAAACAAAAAAAAAAAACCCAAAAAACCAATGAACCAAACCAAAACAAAAACCACAAAACCCACCCCCAATTTACTATTTCACAAAGCCGGCAAACAAAAATGCTTGAAAAGCAGAGTCTTCAGTTCATAAAAATAAATTATATCATAAAACTCTCCCACCTTTTAAACTAACATTATATGAAATACTGTTCAGCTTTACTTTACAAAACATCACAGATTGCTCCCCTATATCATGTACTTTTGTCTGTCTCACACAGTAACCACCTCCTTGAATCTTCTTAGATGGAATCATGCTGCCAAAACAGATGGACACTTAAAGTAAAGTGCAAGACTAATTATTATTTCTTAATCTTCAGCTATGAGATTTATCGTCTAATTTAAATTGGAATAATACTTCCATTGCAGTTTATCATACTTGCACTGTGAAAAGCATTCTAAGATCAAGTAAAATATTATGACATAGTAGTTTTAATATATTTTCACATTTTATGCCATTACAGTATTATTTTTTAAACTATAGACAAAATATTTTAGGACATATTGCATGTCTTGAGGTATGTTTTTAAGAGTGCATAGGTTTCCAGCAGCTGTTAATACTGAAACAAACATTTCTTCAGAACAGCGAAACATATATGAGAAATCTGTGTTCAGTGACTGAAGAATACCAACCAACTTCTGAGCAATCCCAGCGTCGTGTGCATTTGTAGGTAGCAGTATTTTACATTTGGAAGCTTTCTCCATGAGTCATGTCCTAAACCAGAGCTGTAACTGAAAGATGTTACTGCTCCAGCCCTGCGTGCCTCCCCGGCCACGACTGCCAAATCAGTCTGCAATTAAGAACGTGGATGACGAAAGAATAAATAGCTTTGCGTTTTTTACCGAACATGAGGGCCCCTGTAGCATCTTGAAATGTGTGCTAAATTCAGCACAAAGCAATGTAACACGCACAAACATAAAACTCTGCTGCCTGTTGTATAGATCTGTGCTCACTGCTGCAGTGAGAGATTTTGGTGGATGAGAAATAGCCTCTGACAAAACCAGCAGATAAAATTATTAAATAAAGATAAAACCATATCAAATGTCCCCAGAGCTGTGGAACAATAGTTAGCTCACACTAATCTTGACTCTGAGGCTGAGAATGCCGTGGTTTCTCCTGTCATTTCAGGAATTACTTTTGCTACATTTTAAGGCATGATGCAATGGTTTAAAAAGTGGAAAATGTATCACGGAGAACATTCTGGCTAAAATCCCAGGTCCACTAAAATCAATGGGAGCTTTTACTCTGATTTTGTGTCATACATTGGTTATTTCTCCTCCCTTGTTCTTTTCACTTATGCCCGTTTTATGATACTCTTCGATACATGTGGCTATACTGGAGTTGGTTAAAGTACTGCATGTTTCATTACATAATCAGAAGCCAAATTTGCACCAAACAACAGAACATTATTTTTATTTGCAGAAACAAAAATTATGCATTTTCCCTCACAACTGTTGTTTGATAGATATGTGATGGATAAAGGTAAGAGGGGATTTACTGAGCTTTAAAAAAATGGATTGTGTATCTGTGGCATGCTTTTTTGTGTATGTCACCTGCAATATGTGACCTTCTGTTGTATATGACTTAAAAGTAACTGCGTGCTGTAAGTTAAACACTAGAACATAAACACCTACATTATACCTGAAGCACACAATAAAATAAGAAAACACATTTCCATTTTCTGACTGACCTCAATCTCTGAATGAGGACCCCTGCACATTACATTAGCAGGCTGGGCTCCATTACACTGCCGCACACCCTGCTCAATCTACTGAAATATTGATTTTTTTTACAGAGCATACACACTGTCAAATCAATATTCCCGTACACACAGCCGAGTAGCAGAGGCATAGCTGGGGCCTGCTCCAGCCTAGCAGAGAAGGTGTGTGTGGAGGGAGCAGGGACAGAGGGACAACAGGAAGGTGGGAAGTACGACTGCCCATGGCAAGGCAGAATAGGGCTGATGTCTGAACAGCACAGAGAAGGCGCGGACAAGGAAGGAGGAACATGTCTCTTAAACACAACAGAAAGGCTCAGGAAAGGCTTGCCCTTTCTGTTTCTGCAGACAAAGGAGCTAAAGGAGGCAAAGCCTAATTTCAAAGTATTTTCAGTTTATTTCCCTTTCAGATACTGAAATGACAGCCATAGGTTTGGGTTAACAGGCATTGCTGTGATCCTGCAATCACAAGGACCACGTAGACAGTTCATGGCAAAGTGATGCCACTGCAGGACAGGGCTGGCACCTCTCCTCCCATGGACACCTGCATGCACACACAGCTCGTATCGCTGAACGGTTCTCTTGGAACCACTCCAGTGCCTCCAGTACAGGCAGAGCATTTCTACTGTCGAGGCTTCCATGGCTGGACGAGCCCTGGATCAGTGTTTCAAACTTACTGGTGTCAGCAGTTCCATCTGAGCCTAGTGAACAAGCTGGATAGTAAACCCAGTTTAAGTTCTATGGCTTTAATTTATATCTATGAATTTAATTCAATGTAAGAGATAAAATCAATTGCAGGAATTATTTTCAAAGCTTTCTTTAGGTAATTTTGTATACTGTTAGTGAAAGATGAAGAGAACTAATGAAGTCCTGACAACCTTCGAGAGAGAGCAGAAAACATTGTTTTCATACAACAGATGCCCTCAGCTATTCCTTCGGGGAGAGAGAACACACTCTTCAGCAAAAGTTGTTACATTCTTTCTAAAGTCCTTCAAACGCCAAGCGGGAACGGGAGACAGGCGCGGATCCTGCGGCTCACACCCACTACGGCACAGCCCCGGCTGCTCTCGGGGGGAAGCCGGGACACCTGCAGTGCCCGCGGAGCCCGGCACCGCGGCGCCGAGCGCTCAGGGGCAGCGGGGCTGCCGGGGCCGGGCACCGCCGGCCGCGGACGGGACCCGCACGGGGCAGTAACGCCGCGGGTGCGAGGCGGCTTTGGCGCGGAGCGGCGACAGCAGCCGTGACCTCCGACCCCGCCCGCCGCCGGCCAATAAGAGCGCGGCTCGTCCCCGAACCCAAAATTTCCACGTCGGCAAAAGTCAAGATGGAGCGGCGGGCGCGCGGCGCGGGCGGGCGGGCGACACCGGCCGCCACCGCCGCCCGCGGGACGCG